CACTAATGTGTAAGGGTTGCTGTTGTGTATGAGATGTTGTATCTGTATCTCTATACATGTGCTACACCCTCCTCCCATAAAAGGCCATTGTAGACACGCAGACACAATCTCGCCTTCAGTGACCCAATTCAATGGAACATGCTGGTAATCCAAGGCAACAAAGTGGAAAAGTGGTAAATACAATAATGACGTTAAGCAGGAAATTGTTCTTTGATCATTAAGTTCACTGTGAGTCGCAACAGCAAATTAAAGCTCAGTGACTGACAACTGAAGCAGACAAACAGCCTTGAGGTCTGTCGTGGGTTTTCACAGTTTTTGTTCTATTGCATGTAGCAGTGGTAGACCACCGACTGCACACTTTTACTCTCACCGCACTATGGAGTGGACATTTTTGGTTTTGAGTGACATTCTTAACACCTCGCAGGTGAATTGATTTCATCTGGTACAGAGGCTTGAAAAACGTGAAGTGTGGTAGCGATGTCTGACTGAAACAAGTGCTTGACTCGTAGTGAGTCAGTTTCAGCTGTGATGTTTCATTTGTCGTTTTTATAGCATAACTAATAAATACCAAACTTACTATGAAAATGACACTCAGAATTATGAGTTGATAGCCTTCCAGTTGCACAGGAACCTTTTTTTAAGTTAGCAAGCTAGCTGTTGTTAGCAAAAACAGGTTATTATAATGCATTACGCTGCATTTCACACAAACTTACACTGTAGTTAATTGTCAACTGACAGTAAAAGGACATTACTATGTGTACGACACATTCAATGACAGACGTGCTAATAAAGACTAAAAACTACAGCTTTGACTACTGTTGATATATGGAGCTGCCATCTTGGATTTCAAAGTCGGCAGTGGTGAGGTTCTCCCGAATCCAGAAGTTCTGGTTTGATGGGGCCGGTAAAGTTGCAATTTCAACTCTGGGGTTGAAAATTCCTAACTGCGAGGTTTGATGGGACACAGATTAACATGGAGGAGGTGGGATTTATGACCTGTACTGCAGCGAGTCACAAGCCGGCGATCAAGAGGCTTTGGCTTTACCTTAAGAGAGCTGTCCTCCATCTTTATGTCAAATAGTAAATGGTGGGATGTATTCTTTAGAATAGAAGGTGCTGCTTCAGAGCGGACTCAATAGAACCCGAATTTGTTTCTCGCAACGAGTGAAGCATCTTCGCTTTTTTTCTCCCATCTGTGCTCTGGAGCGGATCGGCGCACACCCGCCCCCCGGAGTGTTCGAACTGTCCGATGCAGACACCTGATTGGCTGAGAGAGCCTTCCGTCAGGGGGGGTTTATCCTTGTCGGGGTAGGTTGGTTACGCTGTGCGGCAGCGCTGAGCTGAGCGGGGCTTGTGGTGGGGGACGGCAGTGCGTTTAAAAACCGCCCAGGGGAGACACCGCGTTTACGAGCCCAGAGTTTTGTGTGTGTTTTCCGCGGACTGCCTCCCTCCCTCCTCGGCCCCGGTTCAGTCCGTCCACTGCGGGATGAGCTGGACGAGAGGAACACGGCAGCACCGGTTCACCTGAAGCAAGTGGACCCTTCCCCGGTTGTTAACCCCCACAAACATGCGCTGACTTCTCCTCTGATCTGAGCTGAAGCCGTGTTGTGACTGTTCCTCTGGAGGAGTTCAACACAGAGAAGCTGGTTGTCTCTCTCAGTGATAGGATCTCCCATCATTTCCAGCAGCAGCAGCAGCAGAGGCTTCTTCCTCCTCCTCCGCCTCCTCCTCTTGTTCCTCGGAGCCTCCAGGTCGCGTGGAGGCCGGTGCTGGTGCAGCTGGTGCCGGGCTGAGAAGATGGGACTACCTGCCCTGGAGTTCAGTGACTGCTACCTGGACAGTCCTCAGTTCAGGGAGAGACTCAAGTCCCACGAGCTGGAGCTGGATAAGACCAACAAGTTCATCAAGGAGCTGATCAAAGATGGGAAAGCTCTCATCCAGGCTCTGAAATGTAAGTCTCCTTTTAATGACGTCTTTAGGACATTTCCCAGCATGGACACTGACCTTGTGGGGACCAACGCGCCATGTCCGAGGGCCTGGTTCAGGTTTGGCGTGGGGTGGTTATGGTTCAGCTTGGAGACACTGTTTTGATGAGGCTGTTTGCAATGAATGGAGGTCAATGAGAAATCCCAACAAGGAGAGCTGCTGACAGAGGGTGTGACTACCAGAGGGTCCATGCTCTTCATTATCTGGTGCAACCACTTGGTTTGTGGCTTGATTCAACCATCATGAATGGTTTCTAAGAAGGGACCATGGCTGTGTCTCAATTCAGGGGCTCCTCCAATTGCAGCCAATATGTGTCCTTTCTCCCCCCGGAGCAGGTGAATCCCTCCCAGGCCCACCTATCCCATGATACATTGCGCTTCAATGACAGACTGTCTTTCAAAGAGGTGATGGCGGCAGCAAGCATGGCGAAAACGTCAGAAATAATTTATTTTTAATTGGAAGTGCTCAATCAAACAGCAAACGTCACCCATATAAAAAAAAACAACATATTTTCAGTGTTTACGCTTTTCCAACTAACTTTCAGTCCATAGCTATGTTGCTAGGCGACGGCTGTAAGAGCAGGCTGTCTCATTTCGGTTTGTGGTCTACGCAGCCAACTTCGGCTGCATCCTTTGTCGGCTGCGTAGAGCGAGTCCTCAGAAGGATGTGGCCCCTGAATTTATCTTATACCAACATTATCTAAATGCTGGGACCATAATGTGAAGTGTAAAATCTCTGTCTTGATTTTGTTTCGGCATAAAACTCGACAAATGAGATTGAATTTGTGAAATGAATCATTCAAAACATTGACTTTTCAGAAACAAAACTCTGCAGTTGTTTCACTTCTGTGTGCGTTAGTGTGTGTGTAGGTGCAGCACTGTACATACAAACCCCTGACACTGCTGATAGTATTGTGTTTTGGTAGCTGATGTATTATTTACACTGCTCATATCCAGATAGGACAAACCCTGGAAAGTCCAGAGCAAACCAGCGTGCCAGTTCACCTGAACGTTCCACCCTCGTGTTATTGTCTGTGCCTTTCAGGCTCAGTCCTCTCTGTCACCACAAAGCTCTGTCAGCTGACATCCAGCTATAAAGATGACTCTACTTTTGTTTATTGGTTGGATCTAGAAATCAAACAGCGTGAGCGTTTCACTGAGGTCAGGAGGAGTCATTTGCTTGTTTTGTGTCCAACAAAAAGCCTTTTTCCCTGGTTAATCTTTATTTGCCTATAATCCACAGTGTTCTGTTGCTTGCAGGGACATGAGATTAATCAGTTGCAACAGATTTTGAAAGTCCAACTGAATTTTAAGTTCTCTTTTCCACTGCACCATAAATCTTGTTGCTGCGTCTTTCAACACACCTTGACCTCCTCTGCTTTTCTGCGTTTGAGGCACTGAGGGGACATGACGCTGTCCTTGGACGCCCCTGTAGTTAAGTTGGTTACTAATTGCTGCTTGAGGTGGTTGCTCAAAGTCACAGCTGCCACATGTGTGTTGGCACGTAATGAATACATGCATGGAGCCACAGGAGGACAAAGTGGGACATTTACAATCATAGTGGCAATGACACTCCAGAACTGACACACTATACTGTCAATTTACTGAAACCTGCTACACAGTATAAGCTGCTCTCAGATATGGACTGAAGTTCAGACATTTTCCCGATGTCATGTGGAGTGGCTGTATGTGAGAAATGAAATGTCCAAGTCAGTTGCTCCGGACATTTTCTGAAACTTTTCCTGGCAGCCCCCAAGTACAGTGGCTGGAAAATGTCAGAGTGAGCCCATGCGATAACACAGCATGAACATTTCAAAAAAATTCTGAGTGATCAGGCAAAACTGGAAGAATATAGATATCTCAAGTATGAAAAAGAGTTGTCATACCTGTAAAAGACGAAGAGGTCAACATGGAAAGACCATGAGAACCGAGAGCTTTTGGTGATAAAGGCCTGGTGTCAATGTTCTGTGAGTGAAATTTATACATCCTGCCATTCCTCTACCCAGGTGCCACTCTTCACCTGAATGTTCCGAAAATGTTTCTGTTGTTGTGAACACATCAGACCCGGAAAAGCTCCTGCTGCCTCCTTCATATGGAAAAGGAAAACTACGGGAAATGTCTGGAACCAATTTCCCCAGACAAATTCCAGAGTTCATGTCTGAAAACAGTATCTCTGTTTTCTCTGGAACTTCAGAACAGGTTTGAGGATGTGATGATATGGTCTGGGTTTTTGTCAGGCTGGTGTTGATAGTTTTTATATATACAGAATATGTTTTATTAAATATCCATTTGTAATCTCTATACCGCTTATTTTTTGAGGTTTGTGGGTGGACCTGCACCCGGAGGAGTGGGCTACACCCTGGTCAGGTCGCTGGCGTATCGTCGGGCTCAAATATAAAATGTTATTTATATTTCTAAGGTACTATTTTAAAATGCAGTCACATAATCTCATACATACGTCCATATTACCAACTGCAGATGTCACAGTAGAGTTATGGTGCTTCAGTGTAAATTAATCACTATGAATGAGATGGAAAACTAAATATAAATGAAAATATATATTCTTTAGTAAGCAGCGTCTGTTATGTTTGCCTTGAGTAGAAAAGTTGCATTGCACCGAAACGGCCAATCAGTGACATTCCTTTCTTTTTTGAAATTATTCTAACAACTTCTTCTCTGTGAGAGTATAAGAACTTTTAGCACATTACTCTTTAGTTTAATGGAAGAACAACTATTGCAAACTTGCAGTCGTGTCATCCTGTTTGTGGGTGTCAACAATTAAACATGTAGACACATTTAGACACACGCACACACACACACACAGAGTCTTTGAAAACCACTGAATTCCTTGAATATGTAGTTGTGAGACATGCACATAGTTAGGTGGCAAATGCATGCATTTATACACACAGACGTGTGTGTGTGTGTGTGTGTGTGTGTGTGTGTGTGTGTGAGCCAGATGTGACCTCAGGGCAGATCTAGCTTGTTATTACGGAGTCTGAAGAAATGTTTGGTTCTCTGCTCCACCTCTAACATGACACAGCTCAATCAGCCAAACTAACCCTAATTACAAGCTGTGCAGTCACTGTAGCTGTGAGGGAAACAACACCGTGCTTAGACAGTTCGTATGACAATGAGACATGACGTTACCATGTTTTCAGCTGAACGTCTGCAGTTATTTTCGGAACAGTAGGTTCCTTCACGTCTCTTGAGTGTGACTTCTTACTTTACTTAGGTGTAATGAATTAGAATTGTACCTGGTAGAGTGGGCACACTAAAAATACCTTTGCCCTGTTCTTTGCCCGGATCACCACCAAAATTTTATGAATTATTTTTTGGTCTGTGTCAGAGCCTTCCACCAGGTTTCATGGGAATATGTTGAGTGTCTGTTAAATCCTGGTGACAAACCAACAGACAAACGGGGAGGTGAAAAGACCTAACCACCTTAGTGGAGGTAACAATGATAGAACCTGTACATCCGATGCATGTTATACTGGTTTCAAGTCCCAGGACTCAGCTGTCATGAACAAGAGTTTTTCACAGTGAGGTCATCGTTCGCTGCCCTGACATCGCTGCTCTCTGGAGTTGGAAACGTTTTAGGCTGACAGTCATTGCTGTGCCATTAAGTTGTAATAATTACATGGTCATGCACATATGTTACAGTGAAAGCATGACATCACTGTCATGCAGATCATTTTACTCCAACATTAAACTGTAGTTTCAGGGCCTGGGAGCATGAAACATGAGAGAGAAAGCAGCTCGGCCTGCAGCTGCTTCATTAAGTTTAAATTGTGAATATCGTGTGACATCATACATTCCTTTAACATGTATTCTATGTGACCTCTGTGTGCCCTGTGTGTGTATTGTGACGTTGAATGGGCTGTTGCGATCAGGCCTTTGGATGGAGCAATAACATATCAGGAAGAGAGATATAATGACACAGGGAACGACAAAGAAAAGAAAGGGAGGCAAGAAAATGGAGACAATAAAGCAAATGGTGGATGACATAAGAATAAAAGCATTATTTAAATTGTCAAAGTCAAAATTTAAATCCAAGGAACCGTCTTAACATTAAGCTGAAAAATGTTAAAAGGTTACTTACACTAGATTACTATTAATAACTTTGCTTAAAACTTTATTCAAACTATTTGAGACTCACAAGAGGGTCCATAGCAACTTCAGAAGATGTTATTATGTATTATTATGTAGGGAGTCATGGAAACTGGAAATAGATTATTGCAATTATAATTTTTTTTTTTTCATTTGTTATATTTAGGCTTTATTTGACAGTTGACCGATGGTAAACGGGGGAAAACAGAGAGTATGTGACATGCATATGTAATGATTATCAATGCATGCACATGGCAGTTATGTGCCTTGTAACCAGTAGACCTAAAGTAGTTTAAAAGAATGTTGCTTTATTGACCTAAGGCATGAAGAGGAAGTCTGTATCTGGTTTAGTTTGGACAAATATGACTTGATAATCAAATTAAATCAACTATTTTAGCTCTATATAAGGGTCATGATGGACAGACCATTGAAATGCTGTTTGGCAGCCCTTTTGGAGAAATAGTTGATTCTTAAAGTTTTATATACATAATCCAAAACAGCTAAAAAAAACACAGTTCAGTTTATGAAGGCTTGACCCACAAAGGACACACATTGTTCAGGTATGTGTTCTTCATTGTGTTCGGCCTGTTACTGGTTAAAAACAGCCCTTCAGCCATTATCACTGTCTTGATAATGGCTTCGTTTGCAGGCGTTCACTCCGTGACTTAAAATTGAACCTTTTAACTGCCCCCTAGCAACCTCACAGACAAGCTGCTGGCAAACTTGTGTGTAGTGGGAATTCCCTGCGACAGAACCGAGCAATGTCGCAATGCATCTATTTTTTTCTCTGTCTGTCTTCTTCCCTCTTTACCGTCTGTCTTTGTTTTTCTGCAGCCACCCTCTGTGCTGTTTGTGA